AGAAAGGTAGATAGATAGACAGATGATTAGATAGACAGTAGATAGCAAAGTATAGCGATATTTTTTAATTTGAAATACTTAAAGATACATTATTGGAGATTAGATAACGAGCTGGCAGTTCCTACTATAATAGTTAAAAACTTGATAATGTAAAGGGAATTTGTTGAAAATGTCAGTCAAATTGATCCACTTTAAACCGAGGTTTTAGCGATTGAATTTTCGACCTAGCCTCGATCATCATTACGATAAAAGTCGGTACGATAAAAAACATAGTCTCGATTATCTATTTCATGATTAAATCATGAATGAAAGTTTAGCAGCAAATCGGATCCTCATCCAATAAATATCGCAGGCTAGCGTTTACATCGAGAGTTGGTTATGGTCTGGATAAGTTAATTAATGTCTAATTAATAATTTAGATAACATATTCCAGGCCTGCAATAGGCAGATTTAGCTCTTGTATAATGTATGTTTAATGATAATAAGTATTTGTTGTTTTGATAATGTAACATTTTTTAAGCGTGAATTGTTTGATGAAAGTATATAATGCGCTTATATTTATTTGTTTGTTTCTATTTCTGTTATGGCTTATTCTTAATGGAACTGGAGCCCACGTTAATTTGGTTTTCAGTGCCCTGTTACACTTTTTCGTCATTTTTGGTGAAAATCTTTATTTTTGTACAAAAATGGATATTATTTACAACTAAACGAGTGCCACCCTATTTTTTTCTTGATCATAATACTATAGATCATTGCCTTTCCAGTCAGCTTTCCAAAAGAATTCTTATACCCGCAGTGGGTGAGATACAGATAGAACAAAAGCATCGCTAACGCTGCAATATACGTCCACATTCCTGCTTTGATTGGTATGGTTTTTAAAACTAAGAGAATGAAATATGAAATGGCTGTAATATGACAAGAGGCAAAGAAGGCTAGGCGTTAGTTTTGTTTAGCCAAATTTACAGACAAAATATTAACAAAAAAGTGGGTGTGACACCGCCCCAGGGGGTCGGGACATGCACCAAAATAAATAGTTGCTGTCTTTACGGTATAAGGAATAAATATGCAAATTTCCAAGGTGATTCATTCAGAATTGCAGTCTGTGAACGATAAATACAAAAATTTGGCGTGGCTCTACCCCTGGGGTTGGATATGGAACAATATAAATAGGTACCACCCTGTTACTGAAATGATTGATATGCTGAATTTGAACAAAATCTGTTAATTATTGCAACCTATAGAGTATTTACCGATAAAAACTAACAAAAAATAGGTGTGGTACCACACCCCTGGGGGTCGGGACATGCACTAAAATAAATAGTTGCTATCCTTACAGTATAAGGAATAAATATCCAAGATGATCCATTTAGAATTCCAGTCTGTAGACAAAAAACACAAAAATTGAGCGTGGCTCTGCCCCTGGGGGTTGGACATGGACCAATATATATAGGTATAAGCCTATGCTGGATCATTCCGAATTGGGTCCTAATCTGTTAATAATTGCAACCTGTATATCATTTACAGACAAAATATCAACAAAAAGTGGGCGTGGCACCGCCGAAAGGGCAGGGTGTGGAGGAGGGGGTCGTGCACCAAAATCAATAGTTTACGCCCTTAGGCTATAAGGAATACATATGCCAAGTACCAAGTTGATCCATTCAGAATCGCGGCCTGTAAACGATAAACACAAAAATAGGGCGTGGCTCTGCCCCTGGAGAGAGAGAGAAATGGGGTTTAACGTCCACTCGACACAAACTAGGTCATTTCGGGACTAACATATGGTTTAATTTTTTATTTATTTCAATAATTCGCTTGCGCGTAGGGGTCTTTAGCGGTGGGATGAAACTGGGGGACCCGAGGAAAACCCTCGAGGTTGGACAGGCGACCCTACTCCTTGTCACGTACAACTGAGGATTCAAAACCTCGCCAGTTGACTCAATGACAGACCTTATGATACAGCGCGCGCGTGCTAACCTTTCCGCCACCCGCCACCCCCCCCCCCCTGCCCCTGGGGGTCGGGACATGTAATTGTCGTCCTTAGGCTATAAGGAATACATATCCCAAGTTCAAAGACGATCCATTAAGAATCGTGGCCTGTATGCAACACACAGAGACACAAAGAAAACAATGGGAGTGGTTCTGCCCCTGGGGGTTGGGCAATCACCAAAAAACAATAGTTGTCATCTTTAGGGTATAAGGAATAGATATACTAAGTTTTAAAAGGATCTGTTAAGAATTGCGGCCTGTAGGCTAAACACAAGACACACACCAAAAATAATAGAGGTCAGTCTTAGGGTATAAGGAATAAGTATAAACAAGTTTTCAAGACGATCGATTAAGAATTGTGGGCTGTAAGTGACACACAAAAAGAAAATGGGCTTGGCTCTGCCCCTGGGGGTTGGGCATTCAGCACAAACGATAGGGATGTTCCTTAGGATAGAAGGAATAAGTATGCAAAGTTTCAAGGTGATACGTTAAGAAATGCGGTATGTAGATGACAAACAAATAAATACAAGAAATGGGCGTGGCTCTGCCACTGGGGGTCGGGCATGCACCAAAACAATAAGGATCATCCTTAGGGTATAAAGAATTCATATGAAAATCTTTCAAGACGATCTATTAAGAATTATGGCCTGTAAGCGACACACAAAAAGAAAATGGGCGTGGCTCTGCCCCTGGGGGTTGGGCATGCACCCCAAACGTTAGGGATGTACCTTAGGGTACAAAGAATAATAAGTATGCAAAGTTTCAAGATGATACGTTAATAAATGCGGCCTGTGGACGACACACAAACACAAGAAATGGGCGTGGCTCTGCCCCTGGGGGTCGGGCATGCAGCAAAAACAATAGGGATCATCCTTAGGGTATAAGGAATAAATATGTAAAGTTTCAAGAAGATCACTTAAGAAATGTGGCCTGTAGGCGACGCACAGGCACCAACACCCACATACAGAGGTGACGGCAATTTACGTCCACATGTAGACGTATAAAAATGGTGAAAACCGGTCACCCACCATGTGCCGGTCCCGGCATGGTTCTCTCGCAAACACATTCTTAAATACCACGTACGCTGTCGCTATAATTAGTACTATTTGTTGAAATCGCTTTTTCAGGATGTAACGACACTGTTTTAATTATTAACCATGTCCTTATATCTGTGAAGATAGTTTGAGATACCATAGAATTATTCTAACAGCTAATGAGAATATCCCAGCTTGTTTTTTGCAAAACATAGCGAAGCTGTTTGACTGACGTTAATGACTATATATATAACCCAGACGTATTGTCTATCTGGCTTTATCTTAAAATTTCTACGTGCATCATTTGTTTTTTCTTTGTGACGGGTTAATCGCACAATGAAACATTTGATCTTGCGGGATATTTCTCGCGGCATTCGTTCCTGTTACAGTCTGTTGCATATACGGTGTTTAACCGGCATTCCACAATCCTTTAGAAATAAACTGTGAAATTTGCGTTTTGTTGACCTGTGATGTTTTTGGCGTTCTGTCTCACGGTTTAAAAGATTTTCTTTGATGGTTTGTTTGTCATGCTGCACATTCTCCATGCTGAGTACGAGTGTCAAACATCTAATTTGTTTTATTTATTCAACAGTTCCGTCATGTTTCAATGTGCCAAGCCAAAGGTGTTACCAATCTTCCCCTGGGTATAAAAGTAAACCCATGTATGCAAAATATCTCAACAGGCCTGAGAATGAATCTTGATACAAAGATGTCCAAATTAACAACTTAAAATACAAAAAGATCTCATACTCATCCGTTGATTCGCTACTGCAATTCAACCCTACCATTGACGAATGGTATAACATAATGGTTATAAACCAAATAATTTCAAAAACTTAAAAGTTAAATTTTCAAGCTGTTGGTTAGTCTTCATGAATGAGGATATCGTCTACTTTCTCATGAAAACAAAATCCACGGTAATGCTTGGAACCCACTCTTATATTTTATCTAAGGTTTATAACCCAACCCCGAAAAGGAAACCTTACTCTACTCTTGCCATTGGAAGAACTAACAATATTTTGATTTTATGAATACCAAACCAACCCAAGCTAAATCATGTGGTTCAGACAACAATTGTCCCATCCTGAACTCAGAAATGTGAAGAAATCTAGCTGAAATGCGACACAAGTGAACACGATTTTGTTATTTTTATGTCCATTGGTCTGGTTCGTCTGTCATCAACAGATTTGTGAATGCATTAGAGGCAACATTTTTGGGGGTTCCTTCCATATTTGGTGTAAAGCTGTGTGGTCACTAGAGGTTGACCCCATCGCTATTAAGCGTTCCACGACCTTTTGTAACAGCGTTATGCCCCCTTTTTCAAAAACCTTGGGGATGCTTGATTGACAGAATTGCAAAAGAGTGACTTTGAATTCAGTCCTGTCACAGTTCTCTTTGTCCTGATAACGGAGATGGTGCTACAGAATCGTGACGTAATATGTTTCAGCTATCATGCATGGTTGGGTGAGATATTTAGTAGGGGCAGACGTTGTAACCTGAGACCTCCTTTGTTGCTCAATTTGGGATTCAGTTCTGGAACGTTCAAACGAGTATCCCTCGTGAACGCGGTCGAGACTATAGGTTTTTACAGACTTTGGTGGGAGCATTGGAATCATGGGAGGATGAACCCTTTCGAGATTCCGCAACTTTTCGTTCTGTTTTCCTCGATTTGCCAAAAACTTTGCGAATGCAGTTAAAGGCTACAGTTATTCACAGATTTTTCTTTCAGATTTGGTTGTAAGTATTTGGCGATGCCTGCATAGCTATATATCTGTGATAGGTTTAGATAATAAATTTTTGGGGAATACATAACAGTTGGTTAACAGAAGCCAACAAATTCATGAATCCAAATAAAATGGTTGACAAGTTATTGAGCAGGGTTCAACATAGCAGAATTTGGTTGAAAAAAAACCACCTAAAATCACAGGATGGACAAAAATGACAATAATCACTCACATTAACTAAAGACAAAAAACACTGTTTTAAAATTTCATTAAATACTTTACATATTTCTCTTAATTTATATATATTCATATATATACAGAATGTCTTAATTTTTCAATTGGTGATTTTCTATAAGAGTTGCGGTTCTTAATTATCCTTCATGCATCTATCTCCAGTCAAATTATTCATAGGATGTTCTTCCAGGTTTTTCTCTTAACTTTCAGAATAAATACACAATACTGGAATGAAACTTACCTATAAATAAAAAATAAATAGCTTAGAAATTGAATTTAAAGGATGAACCAGTTTTGTTGTCAAATCTCAAAACCATCTGTATATTTCATATATTTTTGTCAGGCAGTTTGGTTATATCAACTAAAAATTATTTCTTTACAAACAGATGAATACCTCCAAAAGCACTAATAGTGATTATGAGATCTTGAAATCAAAGTTCAGTTCCTGGATATAATTTTTAGCTTTTTACACAAATAGTCTGACAGAATCTTTTTTTTATCAAGAATGAATAATAGGAAGCTTATCACATACCTTTAATAACCACATGAGTATAAATAATGAAATCAATTAAGCCTTAAACATCATTATGATTGAAATATATACATGAACTGTACACAAGAAATACAACAAAAGAAATTAAATGATTTATATATTTGTGAATTCTCTGGAAATTTAACCTTGGTATGAGCAGCCATTCTCGATTCTTTCTTCTTCTGTGTTAACCTACAATGTAAATGTATAATTTTATACTATAACAGGAAGATTTGTGCGGTTAAAAATCACAACACAGAATTTTCATAAATTTTCCTTAAATACCAGTATGTAAAGGTTGCAATGGAGTGGTCAACAATTCATGAATTATACTATTGAAAACTGGGGAGAATGGAATCAGTCTTCTTTGATTTTGTATTCCCTATTATAGATGCTGACAGAAATCCTTTTTGGTAAAATGACATAATGTGATTGCTAGGTTTCATTCATTTATCAAATAAATTTCTCTTCAGCCAGAGAGAGAGACCAGTTTAATGTCCATTTAACAAAAACTAGCGTCATTTCGGGAATAACAAATGGTACAGGGGTTTGAAGCAGTAGGAGGAAACCAGAGAACCCTACTCCTTGTAACATACAAGAGGGATTGAAACCACTATAGCCATGTCTTCAAACTCAAAATATGACTATTCTTATACTACAGTGGGTTTTTTCCTCCAACAGCAACACAGTGTCAATTTACTAAAAATATTGGATCTTTTTCAGCTGGTTCACAAACACAAGGGCAATATTTTCATATTCTAAAAATAAAATTGTACAATATATATATTTAACAGGTGACTTTATCAATTTATTACGTGATAAAGGCTGGTTGTTTCTGGCCTCTCAAACCTCTGCCAAGAAGATCAGTAACTTTTAGATTTATGACAGTCTCAGATTATCAGTATCCCCCAGCAGTACAGATACACAGCCTCCAAAACCACTTGTCTCGATTCATGGCAAAAAAAGAAACAGAAAAATTGTTCAGTTCCAATTGTATGTTAAGCTTTGACAAAACTTGAGAGAAAATTATTACATATGATAGACTAGAAATAGAAACAATTTTTACTATAAAATTAAACAAGCGGTTGCCATGCAAGATAGGCCCACATTTTGCAAGAGATGGACAGAGAATAAGCCAAATAAAAGCGTTTTGCACACAATAAGGGTCCATAATCCAGGATGTTACAGTCCGACATTCGTCAATATCAAAAGAAACTAAAATCTTTGGGATATAACCATACGTTTTAAACTGTCATCAAAATCAGATAAAAATTTGCGTAAAGGGGAGAGACTATTTTGACGGGAAGTTTCATTCTGATTTTCATGATATTCGACGTCAACCTCACAGTGATATATATATATATATGAACATTTTTTTTAAAAATCAAACCAAAATTGTGACCATTAGAGGGTCCATAAACTAAAAACCTGATTTTTTGTACAATCAGTGGACATGATCCAGGAAGTTACAGTCTGATATGCGCAAATATCGAAAGGAACCAAGATCTTTAGGATATAAACATACATATAAGTTTCATCAAAATCAGATAAAAATTGACACCTCTAGAGGGGTCCCGGAAGTTACGGTACCGAGATATTTTAGGTTTCATCATAATTGGATAAAAATTGTGATCTCTAGAGGGTCCACAACGTTGGTATTACATACTTTTACACTATTTGCGTACCAGAAGCGTCCACTTTATCAGCCAGTTTCGGTCCGATTTTCATGAAAATCAAACTCAACCATCATTAAAGTGTAACGATGATATAGCTGAATAGTTTTTGAAATCAGATAAAAATTCCACAAGCTAAACCCATGATTTTTCATACAATTAGAGGTCATCATCCAGGAAGTTAGTCCGATATGTACCAATTTCAAAATGTACATAAACATACATTATAAGTTTCATCAAAATCGGATAAAAATTGTTATGTCTACAGTGTCAAAGAGCTAAAAACTAGATTTTTCGTATAATCCATGTGCCAATATCGAAAGGAATCAAGATCTTTGGTATATAAACCTATATTTCAAGTTTCTTCAAAATCAGATAAAAATTGTGACCTGTACAAGTTCCACAAACAAAATGTGAATGGACACACTGACGGAATGATAGGGGTAACGACAATTTATGTCCACATGAAAATGTGGGCGTATAAAAGAAGATGAAACGATGATAAAATATATAAAAAAAAGTAGCCCTCATTTAATAAGTTAGTCTCAAGTTTTGTTTGAGTTTATGAAAATGACACATTTCTTAGCCAGTTATATAGCAATGTTCTTATTACAAAAGGGTTAATCTTCAAAGTTCTTGATCACAAATGTCACCAAAGGCAAATTTTGCAGCTTATTTTCAAACACATTCAAAATGAGAATTTATATAAAGGGCTTTTAGAACCGTAAATCATCTATAAATATGAAGTTGATGAATATGTTACTGACAAGAAAAAATCAACAAAATGAGAATTTAAGGAGAACTATTGTGAATAAGAAACAACGATTAAGTTCAAATTTTTCTTGAAAAATAAAAGTTAAAAAACTAAAAGCAATATGGCTAAAAAAAGTGTGCAATAAAAAAACAAACTCATTACCAATTAGTGAGTTTTTGTAGGCTAGCATTCTATTTATTCATATAATTGGCCACCATTTAACCTATATAGAAGACAAAAGATACATAGTACCTACAATTAATTAAAATATTTCAATATTCACAGATAAATTGTTGGATGTACATAATCATAATATTACAAACAACAGCCTTCATGGCTTTAATATATCTATACAAAATCAGACGAGAAAAAATGTTTTAATGTCCACTCAAGAAAACCTGGTTATATTTTGACACCTGAGTGGTATTTTGTTTATACCAGGGTGCAGAAGAAAGAGGAAATCAAGGACCTTATTTAAATCTCATCAGGTTAGAGTTCCCACACTGTATACCTTTATCCCCACAATCACAGAATCAAAACGCAACTTACAAATAAAATCAAAACATCCATTTTTGGGGGGACGATTTCCTGAAAACTTCATATTTTTGGACATTACCTTATACACTAACCTGAATAACCTATACTTAGAATTAATATATATATATACAAAAAGTTTTAAACACACTAGTTCTGAAAATGACATCAATAAATGTATATGCAAATGCAAATCATCAACTATTACAATGAAATCAACATTAATATTTTATACATTGTAAAATTCCTTCAAATATTCCATCTAATATTAATCCCTTGAACTAAATCTAAATTATGTACATTAATGATAACATGGATACAAAAATAATGTTTGAAATACTCCAGCAGTAAAATCCTAACTCATAATAGATTCTAACCAGAGTAGCTAACATACAGAAAAACAACAAGTTTTTACAAAAAGGGGGATAAAACTGAGCTGCTGTGAAAGTCATTAGACCGAAACTGAACCAAATTGATAATAGAAACTAGAAGGCAAAATACTATGACCTGTTTTCTTAGTGTTTTAATAATACTGCTTTATTCTTAATAACACGGTTTTATTATCAGGAATCAAAACAAATAAAATTTGGTGTAGTGCTACCAGAACACTGCCATCAGTTGCCCAAATTTTCCTTTCAGGACAACTTCTAACAAGCACAACTGCCACCAAGAAACTGCTACAAGGTATAAATGCCACCAAGGACAATGTTACCTAGAATAATCACAATGCTACTTAGACCAACCACAACGTCATCTAGAAATAACTGACAATTAGGACAAACATCCGAGTCTACAATTGTTCCGACATAATTTATCCTAAAAGTCACATATCCTAAGCAGACATTGCAAAACAACAGTTGTTTTACTATACAATTAAACAGTACCATAGTTATAATAAAATTATACTAAGACTTATCTGGCTGCTTTGTCAAACCTTAGATATGTAGATACAGTAGAATATAACACACCACGGGCCGAGATGACCACATATTTATCTGAAAAAATATTCATTTAATAAGTTAAATATAAGGAATTCTCTTCAAATATATAACATAAGATTCCAAGGCTCAGAAGATATTTACATTTTGGTAGGAGGTGAAATAATTCAGTATTTTTCAGTTAATACTAAAATTCAACTGATGGTGAAGAACAATGTTAGCCACTCTGGTTGGAAGTGTCTATTATGTTCCTATTTCTATCTAATTAGCACTTCAATACTCAATTATTTGTAATTTTCTCCTCTTATACATTCATCTCATCATTAAAACAAAACACCTCATTATATCAAGTGTATTGTATAAATTCAATCTCCTTAAAAAAAAATCCACCGAAAGAGATGATAGTAGATTAAGTTTTTTCAAGATTATTTGGATATTTATCTTGGTATTTCACAAAGTCTTAATGGATTTAGATTTTTTCTTGTATAAAAGGGTGATTTAAAGCTTGACTAATGCTGAAACGTTTCGAAGGGTCCAACATAAGTGTTTTTTCTAACAAATCTTTCAGTTGTGTAACTTTTCTCAGCTGATCATCTGGTAGACGTTGATATCCTACTAATTCTGCTAACAGATCTTTACTGGGACTAATAGTACTCAACACTGTCACCTTCTCCTGAAAAACACCAACATTTACATTAAGAACTGGAATACTGAATCTATCATTTGACTATCACACATGAATATAGATTGTATAATGTCTTCATTTATATTAGGATGTTTTACAGATACCAGGTAATGTTATTGATTTACCAGAGGAACCCAGAGAAAACCCATGTGGTTAGGCAGGTAACCCTACTCATAGTCACACACAAGCCTGGATTGTGCATTGAAGATAGATGTTATACTGTTGTGTTCTGAAACATGTTTTCAGCAGTCTGTCTAACCATCTAGTGCTGGCAGTACATGCAATTCTATATTCCCTTTGAAATCAAAATGCATTCAAATATGTAGAAATTACAACTAACCCAGTCATGGATGTTGTACTTAACAACTTTTAAATTTACTTACCCTTAATGTGACTTTATCCACTTCTCTATACAAAAAGTTATAATTAGCATCGAAATGTTGATCTTTAAACATGCTCTTACGGATGAGCTTATTGGGAATCTTTCCTTTTAGATCCATCATAAATTTGAGCATCTCATTGTTAGATTGTCCAGGAAACATAATTCTTCCAGTATACAGTTCAAATATAGTTGTACCCACTGACCACATATCTATAGCATGATCATATCCTCTACCTAGTACTAGAACATTCAAACAAAACATATCTTATAGCATAATCATTCTCAAAACATTCAAACAAAACATATCTTATAGCATAATCATTCTCAAAATATTCAAACAAAATATCTCAAACCATGAATCATATTATTATATACCTAGTACAAGTAACGAAACAAAGAGACAAATGGGGTTTAATGTCCACTCGACTCAACCCAGTCCATTTCAGGACCAAAGTAGTTTTATTTCAATAACTTGCATTCATGTATGGGTCTTTAGCTGGGGATCAAAACCATGACACTTGACATCTTATAATCTAAGTGCATGTGCTAGACCACTAAACCACCCACCCCCTTTGAAACTTCCAAACTTGACATATACATGTAGGTTGAATCGCATATACCTGCCATCTAGTAGTTTTACCTTTGGCTATATATAACATGTGATAATCAAATGCAAATCAAGGGTTTTTTATTTTTTTGTAGAAAAGTTTGAACAAAATGTTTTACTTACTGATTTCTGGAGCTCTGTAGAACCTACTAACTAGGTATGGTGTTATATCGTTTTCAGATACATGTGAAGCAGAACCAAAATCACATAATTTTAAAACCAGTTTTGAATCATTCACCTGTAAAGGAGTTACAAAGATAGTACTTATAATTATATACACTATTAAAACTGATGTTTAGCTGGTAAATATCGATAAGCTAGACATTACGAGGTAAATTATTTGTAAAATATTTGTAAAATATTTGTTAAAGATAGGTTGCCAGGCAACAAAACATACACCCACAGCAGCTAAATCGTCTGAGCGGTTGACAAGGGTTGTCGCATATTTATTCCCTTGTAGGTAATTGGGGGCCTTTACAAGACAGTTCCATACAGATCAGATTATAAATTTTGTCGTTTGAGGGTTTACAAGGTTCTACAAACTGAAACAAGGGTCTCAACTCTGGAAGTAATCTAAAGAAATTGTTGAAATTTGAAAGGCTTTTTCGTTTTACTAATTTAAATAATGCATATAAATTTCATACAGATTACATGATCACTTTTGTCATTCAAACGTTCACAATCGCCATAACTCTAGAAATTATTGACGGAAATTGCTGAAATTCAATAGACCTGTTTCACAAATTTAAATGATGCATATAAATTTCATACATATTGGATGATAACTTTCATCAATCGAGCATTAACAAGGTTTAACAAAGTGAAACAAGGGCAATAAGTCTAGAAGTAAATATTGTAAATTGCTGAAATTCAATAGGCTTTTTCGTTTCACTAATTTAAATCATGCATATAAATTTCACAAAGATTGTATGTTAACTTTTGGCATTAGAGCGTTCACAAGGTTCAACAAAGTGAAACAAGGGCCATAACTCTAAACGTAATAAACGGAAATTATTGAAATTAAATAGGCTTCTTCATCTCACTAATGTAAACAAGGTTCATCAAAGTGAAACAACGGCCATAACTCTAGACGTAATAAACGGAAATTATTGAAATTAAATAGGCTTCTTCATCTCTATAATGTAAACAACATATATCAATTTTAAAACAATTGGATGATAGATTTTGGCGTTAGAGCGTTCACAAGAAATTGTGGACGATGGACGGACGGGGGCGACGGCAATATACGACCACATTTCAATGTGGGCGTATAAAAATGACGGAAACATTAAAATAAAACTTTGAAATCTTTTGTGTTGAAAAGCAATGCGGTCGAAAGTAGACCTCCCAATCCTAAGCGCAGACGACAAGCAACCTAGTTTCCAATTCAACATCGCCTAATAGATAAGCTTATAAAGATAAAATATCAAAAGTAATTCACTCACTAAAATATTATCAGGTTTGATATCACCATGCAGTATAGAACTTCGCTTTAATAACTTTAATGCAAGGAATAACTGCTGACTATAGGAACGTACAGCTTTAATATGTAGACCAATATCTTTACCATACTTTTTTAATATCTCTCTTAAATTCATACTGAAAAATATGAAACATTCCAAATATACTACAAAATAAAATCAGGAAAGGTTGTTTTCGTGACATACTTTTGTAGACAATATTGAAAATAAATAAAATCAGGAAAGGTTGTTTTCGTGACATACTTTTGTAGACAATATTGAAAACATTAAATATTCGGTGTGCTAAAGAGATCAATTTTCAAACCTTTAATTCAATTGGGCACATTAACATTAAACAAAACTTACCTTAACGATTCAAACGCTAAGCAAAGATGATTTTTATGAAAGAAATTACGATATAATCGTAAACAATGAAACTTGTCATCTGGATCAGCATCATTCAATTTACGGAGAAATTCCAATTCTTTTAAACCTGTCTTGTGCCTAAAACAAAAGATATTAGACTGAATAATTTATAGAATAAAATGAATAGTGATAAATATTCAACTTTGCTAAACACTAGTAGATCAATTAACTTATAAAGGCCTAAAATCAACCGTAAAGATACATTCTCACAAAAGTATTTATAGGGTAGTTATTTCCAATAAAAGTATGGCAAATTTGGTATAAATGGAAACTAGTGACACCCAATCTTACCAGAAAAATACCGGATTCCTTGAAAAACACCAATGAGCCAAGCACTGGGCAAAAATATCAAGGTATCACGAAGTGGCAACCCGAACGCTTATTGTCTGCCAGCTTGACTTAGTAAGCGCTTGTTATCTTGATTGAATGGTTAGGCGGTTTTAGGAACATTCAGCGGTTTAACTGTTTAAAAGACTCTGTAATTAAACGGCGGAAAAAGAAGTTGGCAGAAGATAATCCAAGAATTTACTCAGGCTTCAATATGTATGGCAAACTGACAGTAACGACAAATACATTCTGAAAATGGGCCCTCCCTCAATCAAATTACATGACAAACATGGTTTCTAGAAATAGATTTTTTTATATCTTGAGGTATTTCCTTGAGAATACAATATTTTGAGAGGGATTTGAGCACATTTTTGATAGATTAATTAGTTTGAATATGTTTTAAGTCCAAATATATCATCAAATCACCCAGTTTGTACGCGGGATGGCATCTTTACATTAAACAAAAAAAATCTTCTTTTTTAATCTTACATCTCAAAACTTACATCATTTCATTGTTTCTGATGATTTTTATTGCTATTTCTTGATTACCACGAGCAGCATCTCTAGCTCGAACTACATTACTGAATACACCATGTCCAGTATAACCATATACAGTATAACGTTTATCTAACACTTCACCTATTCTTACTCCTGTAAAATAATATTAACAATGTACATAGATTACCATGCAAGCAATGAAACATACACCCACTACCAAATTTTCATCTGAACCAACATGGAAAAACTTTCCCAAAATTATTAGGCTTTCACCTTCGGTGAAAGACTATTGTTATTACTAAGATTAATATTATTATTATTTTTTTATTGGGGGAAGCTAGATCTCAGCAACTATAAGAGATAGAGGTTTGAAATTTGATTTTCTATCGGAAAAGTTGTGTGCAGCTACTGCTTAAAGCTATTTCGAAATTTGTGCGCATAGCGGAAATGCGTCAAATCTTTAACGTGCACGAAAATTGAAAATCGGCCATCATTCTCTTAATTCTCAATCGATTCTTCAGATATTTACATTTTTGGATAGCTGGAGACATTTCTGAGCAGATAGCAGTTCAAAACTGTGGAAATTAGAAACTTTGTCGCTCTAATTTTTTTGGTGAAAATTGGAAAATTTTGAAAATTTTCCAATTTTTTTATTTTTGTGAATTTTTAAATCTCAGTTATATTTTTGGATAGCTGACATCAATCCGATTCCAATAATATAAGTTTTTTTCTGAAATATTGACTTTGATTTTTCACTTTTTTTCGCATTTTGGTCAAATCGTAGAGTTCTTATTTTTTTAAAACGGCTCCAACGATTTTTCTGAAACTTCAGGAATATGAAGTCGAAGGACCAGACCAGTGCATGAACTGTAAATGAAAATCCCCTAATCACCGGAAGTAGTCAAGAAAGGTATCCAAACTTTGACAAAATTGTGAAAAATGGGTGTCTGTGCGGAAAATGCGATGTATCAACAGTGTTCTTGTCGTTTAGTTAAAGTTTTATATCTTTTAATAGCCAATTAAATTGTCTATCAGATGGTACTAAAGCGGCATGTTTCTATCAAAAATTTAAAAAGTTATGTGACTTTGAAAAGTAACGTTTTTTACGATTTCGAGCAACTTTGGACGCATGTTTCTCGGAAAGTCTCCCAACGATTTTTTAAAAACTTTCTCAATCGAGAGGCTAATGGGTACTCTGTTTTGTGAAACCACTGTACAATTTCTCTAATTGTCATGGGTAGCCGAAAACAGAGATCAAAAATCGAAAACGTCGTATTTTTACGATTTGGGGCATTTTTAGAGGCCTATTTCTCGAAAAGTCAACATAATTCTTTTTTGGAACTTCTTCTACAGAGAGGCCTATCGGTAGGGTTATACATAAAACGATTTTACAATAGTCCCAAATTTCAGGAGTAGCAGAAGAAAGGGATCGAAAATTGAACACGGCACCTTTCATTGGTAAGCGAAACATAAGTCGGGGATACAATCTGTACGTTTTGTCAACGTATAGAGCCAATTCAAGAGTGCTTTTATCAGTGATGATATTTGAACTAAAATTATTTCAACTATGAGTGTTTTCTTCTATCCAAAATATGTGTTTAGTGACCCTGTAACAGAAATAGTTGATAGCTGTGTGTAATAATTAGTCTTTGAATTAATATTGTTGCTTCTTTGTCAAATTTATCTTATACCGGTAATCATCTGGACAGAAATCGACGGCTAGCGCTGTTTATAAGAAAGTCCAATTTGTTAAGCGGTTGCAGTAGTATCGTACAGTAGTATCGAATATTGCACCTATGATAAAAGGCATGACGTTGTTTGGGAAAAAACTCTATCTGTATTAGTGACGTCAAATCTTTAACGTGCACGAAACCAGAAAATTGGCGATATTTCATTGATTTATTTTTTTTTATTTCAACAATTCGCTTCCGCGTAGGGGTCTTTAGCAGTTGAAGGAAACCGGAGGACCCGGAGAAAACACACGAGTTTAGACATGCGACATACTCCTTGTCACTTTCAACTGGGGAATCGAAACCCAGCCAGTTGACTCAATAACAGACCGTATGATACAGCGCAGTCCCAAAGGCTGTAGCCTACCGTGCAAATTCCAGCCAGCATAATGTATCTATATAAGAAACATTTCTTCCTACTGGCAATTTACAAACAGTCCCCAAGGCTAGCCTACCGTGTAATTTCCAGCCAGCATAATGTATCTATATAAGAGACATTTATTCCTACTGGCGATTTACAAATTTTGCATGAAGAAATTAAATTCATAAGAACAGAAACATGACTAATGCACAGTATCATATTGATTATAAAAGTACAATGTATATATTGGTTACACTATATATGTCACAAAACAATAATCATTAGATAATAATAATTATTTACTAATTATAAAAATCATTTTAAGAGGTAGGAGTTATCCGTTGTTTAATTTAACAGTTATATAATTACTTTTCTCGGGAAAGCCGCCAATGATTTCTTTCAAACTTGCTCAATCGAGATTCTACTGGGTAGTGTATTGTGTGAAACCCTTGTACAATTTTTCTAATTGTCATGGGTAGCCCAAAAAAGAGATCGAAAATTGAAAACAGCGTATTTTTACGAGTTGGAGCATGTTTAGGGGTCAATATCTGAGTTATGCTAGAGTGTGTTTTTTATTTTTTTTTGGGGGGGGGGGGGGGCGGGAGTGGTGGGGATAGTCTTTTGTCATATATCTGGCGATCGTGTGACGCCTTTGCGACCGTGAAAGCCTTCAGCATTGCGCGCAATTCTAGTTGTTTTTATTATTAGGGTGACCTTAAAAACATCTCTGTTTCGCTTAACGCTACCGAACAAACTAAAACCACCCCTGACTTAAAATATTTTATTTCACTTTTCCGCGATCATTTTATTTTATTTTGTGTGTCAACCTGAAATATATCATGAGGGTTATTTCCCTTTACTATGTCTATGGACTATGGTATTATTCATTACTGAAACTGGGTAATCAAGATGAAAGCGTCAGAAGTATAATTCTCACAGTTAATGTCAATAATAGGTGAAAATCGAAAGGCTTCTTTTTTGTTATGCAAGCTATGAAAAGAATATTTTTTGTCACTTGCTGTGTTTCAAATTACAGGAAATCCAAACAATAAATACCCAGAGATGTACACAGTTGTACAGTAAACAATTCTAAGAGTCTTTCTTTAATAAATTACATTTGGGATGGTTCCTTTAAATTAACTTTTAAAATATCACATTTAAAATATATATGTATCTTTTTAGATTTAATGCACTTACTATAGTAGCCTTCAGCATCATCCCAATTATCAGTTAAAGCTGGATTCTCATTTGCACCAAATGAAAATTTACCAATACCAGAAGGACTCTACAACATAAAACAATTTCTTGGTAAATAAAGAATTCACACTCTTCGCTGCCTAAAAGTTAACAGCAATCAGAAAAGATTGCTATGGCATAACACTATGACGGGGTTGAAAAAAAAATAATAAAAAATAATGTTTATTGTAATTTACATGTACATCAACCATTCCTTCTTCTGTGTTGTGAACTTAATTAGCCATAATTAGTCAATATACTTCTTAATTATGTTTCTTCCATTAACACAACATGTATTTATGTCAATCACTTACTCTCAAAAGAAAAATTTATATCTATTCAGTTAAAAAATGAACTTACATCATAATTTTCTGAAAACATATCTGCTGTTTCTGAAAACATGTCTCTATCACCAGTTTTATTAGACTTCTTCTCATCATTTTCTGAAATGTAAATTCCCTTTTAATAAATTTAATTTCTATCAAGTATGAATGCAGTAAAGTAGCCCGTGTATACAGAGAAAATGGATTGTTCCTTGTCATATCTCTTATATAGCTAAACCAATTAAAAATTTATGAATTATAAAAATTAACACAAACCATCATCATTGTCATTGACCACATGACTCTTTTTCTCTCTGATAGATTCTTCAAAATCTGGAATGTTCTCTTCATCGTGTTTTAAATCTTGTTTAGCTCTATCAGCTATATCACTAGCACTGGAACTATGGGAACTTTCACCATCACTATCAGATACAGTATCAACAGTCTGTCTACTTTCTTCATTTATAACATCATTTGTAACAGGATTACTTTGAAATTTCTACATAAAACAAAGTTCAAAATTAAAACATAATTCCTTTCTTTGATATTAAATTATCATCGAAAATTAACAAAAATTAAAAACCTCGTACAAATTTCAATATGATCAGATGGTAATTGAGGTCTATCCTATGTTAACAAGACTTCTTATGGTTTAATAATTACGGCAATTAAATTGCTAACAAGATTTCAAACAAAACGAGCGGAAACATTATCCCTAAAATATTTGTGTTTACTGTCTGACAAATATGACTCAGATTTTAATAGAGAATTAGTCAATTAGCTGTTTTTCATTAAGAATTAATCTTACCTGCAGTAAAGCTTGTCTCTCTCTTCTTCTTCTCTCTATAATAGCATCTTCATCTTCTTCTTCATCAGGAGCTATATCTAATCTATAGTGAAATATATACAAGAATTATTTATTTAATTAATCAATATTAATCTGTACTTTATAATTTTCCTAGGTGTGTATGAACAGGCCCTCATCTAAATTTGTTTTAAATTATCTCAAAGAATGTAGTTAACCATAAACTCACAGAATGAATAATAAAAAGATTCACATGTACATGTACAATCAATATATATGTCGATGATTAATCATGAATTATTATCAAGAAATGAATATTGTACATACTCTTCATCACTACTAGAGGAATGATGTGGAGGTGCCATGCCTTCTGATAAACTTCCTTTAAATTTATCTTCTTTTCTTCCATCTGATCGTCTTCTACGATCTCTCGGTGATCTACGTCCATCTCTTCTTCCATTATTACGATCATGTGATCTACTTCTACTACGCATCCCTCCACGATATCTGTCTTGTGGTCTACTGTTCATCATACCATTACCTCTGGTCCTATCTCGTATTCTATCAGGCGAGCGACTTCTACGTAACCTAAATGTTCAAATAAAATTTACTTTAATATGTTTAACATATATACATGTAGTTCAATTTATGCAAGCCTGGAAATAAGGCACCTGTCACAGACAATGTTAGGCACAGATTCAGGCTTTGTCAGGCACAAACCTCTGGTGCCTGTCATTTTGTCTGGCACTGATTTGCCTTTTTTTATTGATATTATTAATACATGTCCGGCACTAAGTTGGAAATGTCAGGTACTATTTCATTAGTGCCTGACATTTTGTTTGGTACATCTTAAACCATTATTTCCAGGCCTGAATTTACGACATAAATTCTAAATCAAAATAACACAGATACAAAAGTAGAACAAGAATTGTTAGCTCTGCAAACTTTAGCAAAAAATAAGAAGTGACATCAGGTGTTCAGGAAAGAGAAGCATACATATACCACTATTTTATAACCAATACTCATTACTTTGTCACCACAAATGGATATTTGAACACTAACGATTCTTGGTTCTTCACAGTATTTACATGTAATGTTCAATGTTAATGCATTGCGATACAGTGAAGATTGGAAGATTCCACAATATTTACCTCTTGCTTGGACTATTAGAACGTGGTTGATTACGAGGTGGTGAAAAATGGCGTCTGGGTGGTGGAGGGGAGTTTACTCTACCTCTTTTATGATAGTCATCTCTTGACACAGCATGATTTGAATGAGATCTGCATGAGAGATAAAACAATTATATAACTGTGAACAAAATCATAAAATCTTTTGCTTGATTGATTTACATGTACATGTACTTATGAAAGGAAATTAAACATTTTGTGAAAAATACTGTGTACAAATACATGTATATAAGCTTACCTTCCAGGTGAAATTCTACTTCTCCTGTCTTTATCTCTTGATGTTTCCCTGCCTGTGTGTGCTGGTGATGATCGGCGTTCTCGTTTTGAATTAGGTGATGATCTTGATGATGAATGATGATCTCTGCCCGAGGACGAACCCATAAAATATTTTTCATTTTGATTAGATCGAGATTGTGAACGTGATCTACTTCTATTGTCTATTTGAGGTATTGTTTTTTTACGTTTCCTCTCCCTATTCTCTTTTCCCTCACGAGGAAGAGTCTCTGACAAAGATTTTTGTCTAGAACCAGGCACATTAACATAAGGTAGATTACTTTTTTCTTCTATTATTTCTATATCATCTAAGTCATCATCATCATCATCTTGAACAGAATTTTGTTTTAATAAAGCATGTGTTTTTTCAACTATATGAATGTCATGATCAATCTCCCCTTCTTCTTCACCTGAGTCTGCATAGCCTTGAACAATAAGTTTCATAGCATTGAGCGTTTCATCTTCCGTTTTACCACTCTTGCCATCTAACTGTGCCCACAGTGCCTGTCTTGCTGCCTCTAATTCATCAAGATCGATTGTCTCTTCCACTTTATATTTTTTATTTGATATTTTAGGAACATTTTCTTCTTTTTCTTTTTCATGTTTTCGCTTCTTTTTCTTGTGTTTATGACGTGACTTGTCTGACTTAGATCTGTCTGTACTTGTGTGTCTATGTTTGTGTTTGTGCTTCTTTTTACTACTGTGCTTTTTTTTCTCTTTTTTTAAAGAATTCTCATCACTGCTCAGCTCATTACTTTCATCACTGAAAATAAATGTAGCATAATGAAAGATAAGCTTACAATCATCATGTAAAAACCAACCAAGCAGATAGTGATACACCCATACTTTTTACAAGAGATGGACGGAGAACAGGGAAAATCAAAGGGCTCGTCCTCTCATTGTCCCACTGCTTCACATCGAATTTGAAATAAAAATCAGTTAAAATCTGATTCAAAATTCACCATCATAATTCAGTATGCCATACACATAATGACAAAGGCTCAGTTTTAAAAATAGTGTCCTTATTGGTCACAGCTTTCCATAGTTGTAGGGAGCTTGCCTATATTGGGGGCGGGAACCAAGGTGGCTAAGTGGGTAAGAACTAAGACGCTGGTTTGCTAGTATGGCGGTCGGGTGTTGGATCACTGCATTGGTCGAGAAAGTTCATCAGGATTTTCAGATGGGGTCTAGACAAGGTCTTATTTTCTCCCTAAAATGTTCCTTTACATTGTTCAGGCGTTCACAGCAACTAACCTACGACTGTTTAGCAGTAAAAAGTTGTTCAGTAAAATTGACTGGGGGCTGATGCCTTTTCGACAAGGATTCTTCAATAGGACGGTTCCTGAATGTACTGGGCGAGTGTAAAGATAGCGTGTACCAAGCTCAAGGGCAGTTAACTCTGTTTGACTTAATATTTGGTCCAAAAACTGGATATGATTTTCAGCGGAAAAGTAGGTTTCGAATTACGTCTGACCGTACCTTTATTTTTATTGGCGGATGGTGTAACTCGGCGGGAGATGTTTGGGAAAATGTTAGGCCTGTGGAATATGACAATTGGACCCACATCAGGTGAGTCTGGTGAGTGGAACTATTTTTTCTAGAATTTTAAAAAATTCAAATATTTTCCATTTCTTTACATATGAATATTCCAACATAATTTTACGATTTTATGACACTTTAGGAAATATTCTATTCATAAAAAGATAGGTTGCCAGGCAACGAAACATACGCCCACAGCAGCTATATCGTCCAGGCAGTCAACAAGAGAGAGAGAGAGAGAGAAATGGGGTTTAACGTCCACTCGACACAAACTAGGTCATTTCGGGACTAACATGGTTTAATTTTATTTCAATAATTCGCTTGCGTATAGGTCTTTAGCAGTGGGAGGAAACCGGAGGACCCGGAGAAAACCCACGAGGTTGGACAGGCGACCCTACTCCTTGTCACGTACAACCGGGGATTCGAAACCACGCCAGTCGACTCAATGACAGATTTTATGATACAGCGCGCGCACGCTAACCATTCAGCCATCCAACCCCCCCAGTCAACAAGAGTTGTCGCATATTTTTACTTTTTTAATATATTAAAATCTGATTAAGAGTAATAATCCATTAAGTTTTTATAAAGTTTTGCCCCATGCTAACGTTTAGTATACGAAACTTTTAACATCATGGATTTACAAATGTAGCTGTTGAAGTCATAAAGATTCATTGAAAATCAATATACTTGTTCGTCTCAAGACCTTAAACTCTTGTGTATCAATCTGAAGTCAATCGGATGATAACTTTAGCCTCTAGAGCGTCACAAGATTTTTCAAAGTAATCAAGGGCTATAACTCGGGCAGCAATTATCCGAAATCGTTGAAAATCGATAAGATTCTTTATCTCATGGCCTCAAACACTGTGTATAAATTTAACGTCAATTGGATATTAACTTTAGCCTCTAGAGCATCCACTAGATTTTTCAAAGTGATCAAGGGCCATAACTCTGGCAGTAATTATCCAAAATCGCTGAAAATCAATAGGATTCTTTGTCTCATGACCTTAAACACTGTGTATAAATTTAAAGTCAATCGGATATTAACTTTAGCCTCTAGAGCGCCCACAAGATTTTTCAAAGTGATCAAGGGCCATAACTCTGGCAGTAATTATCGGAAATCGCTGAAAATCAATAGGCTTCTTCGTCTCATGACCTTAAACACTGTGTATAAATTTAAAGTCAATCGGATATTACCTTTGACCTCTAGAGTGTCCACAAGATTTTTTGAAGTGATCAAGGGCCATAACTTAGGCAGTAATTATCGAAAATCGTTGAAAATCAATACGCTTCTTCGTCTCATGACCTTAAACACTGTGTATAAATTTAAAGTCAATCGGATATTAAATTTAGCCTCTAGAGCGTACACATGCAATTGTGGATGCCGGACCGACAGACCGGGGCGACAACAATATACGACTACATTTTAATGTGGGCGTATAAAAACGAATTGTCATGGACGTAATCATGCGTTAAATTGAGAATTAAGAAAAAATATATCAAATAACGGTACATGGCGAAAACTGGAAGTTGAATATCTGTCATGGATGCCTATGGTGAGCACTGTAACTATTTGTTTTCATTCCGTAAAAACGTGCTTATTCTGCCTTTTCTCGTGATTAAATTTTAGCCGATATTATTCGATCTGTAGAAAATGGACCGAACCCAATCCAAAGAAACAGCATTATTATTGACAGACATAAATAAAACAGTATGAACGCACGTTATTTAAAAGTAGAATTATATATCGTATCAACAAAGAATAATTCACATAGAAACTGAAGTGAAATGTTAGGCCAATTTATTATCACTGACATATGACATAATAATGTCATGTGATATTGTAAGTAGGCTGTCTATTTCAAATTGTAAAAATAATGTTTGTCACTAGTAGTATCTGATTAGATGGGTATGAAAATCTTTAGCGCTGGTTTGTTTAGTTTATTTCAGTTATTTTTTCTATGCAAGCTCTTTAGATAGACTCTGAAGCCGAGGCATCATGCATTCCTTCTTTCTATTTCTCCATATACATTGTATCTTCCTTTTCCCCCTGCTTGAAAGGCATATTTTAGGATTTGTGTGATGGAAGCAAATGTTTAAAAAGGAGAAATAGCAAACAATCGTCAAATTTATGCCTAACCCTGTCCATTGATAACCACTTTTCCTGCAAAAAGGGGGTCTTCTTAGTTATCTGAATGATTGTGAATTTAATAAGGAGTATCCAAACTGTTATTCTTTTCTACAAAGTTTCATGTTAATTCATTGAAAAACATATTTTTTACATTGCACTGAAGTCAAATTACCACTTTTTGGACCAGATTTAGATTTCGGACCGAAAAAACAAAACTAACTAATAAAAATTGAATATAAAAAATTTGCTCAAAAAATAAAATTTGGTTGGTACATGCTAGTAATGAAACCTACGTTCAGAGCTGAACCAGTAGGCCTATAAGTTACAGTCGCCTATCAACTATATGAATTTGTCACGCCACTCTAATTGGGCACGCTGGCTTGGAATTTTGACAATTTCGAAGGTCAAACGTGATATTGTGTATGATATTATTCAAAATGGATTAAAATGACAGATTAATCAGATTAAAATTCATAACGAACGGTCATCAAAAAGAACGTAATACGTAATATTTACGAACATGCCGAACATACCCATGAATCACGACCCAAGTTTCAGTACTAAACTGAAGATGTATAGTTCACATTGAGTATTCTTTAAAAATATCAACGGAACCAAATTATTAACAAAGGGTAAATAAAGGTTAGGATTTTAAGCATAAGTGAGAAATAACAAAAAGGCACCTTATTTCAACTATACGTTCTTTTTTTCCGGCGTCCATTTTGTTCAATTTCTAAGGTTGGCTGCAAATGTCGAATTGACTTATAAAGCGGAAAAGAGAAAAATAATACAAAATATATTCATTATATTATTATGCTATTTGATTACTATACAATAAATTGAGATTTGAAATTGGGTTTTATTTTAACCATGTTATAATTTTCTATGTCATCTCTTTATTCTACAAATCTACTTCTGATTTCGTTTCATCCTACATGATTTGATATTTAACCATTCAGCACCGTTTAAATCTATTTGTTAAGGCCAGCTCAATTTACGTCAAAGTTGTCGAGGTGTAAATAAGGTTAGGACACGTGATTGTTGGCGAGATTGTAGGGTAAGCATTAGGGCTAGGTCCAGGGTTAGGGTTAGGATTGGGATTAGAGCTAGCCTCGTTTACATCTCGTGAGCTTTGACCAAACTTGAAGCTGGCCTTATCAAATAGATCTATAACCATTCAGCACCCCTCGCTGGAGGACCAGGCGATTCTTATGGTAATCTATTTTGGCCACTTCCTGCATCGCGATTCCGCGTCGCGCGTCGCCCTTCTCAATGTTAAGCTAAAGAGAAAAAATGCGACGTCGACATCTTAACACGACGTCGCTCTTCTAATGGCGACGTCGCTTTTTCTAAACGGATATTGTTTATAGTTTTGGTGATGAAATGCGGATGTAGCAGGAGAATTCATTTGCAGTTTATTTGCTGTTTGGTATCTTGTCTTCAATACAGTAATTTATATTGGACACAACGACCTGTCATTGACACCTTTATACAACAATTATATTACCCAGATTATATGTTATATTTTAAATGTCTGTTCTAAACTTACAATCGTAAACTCTGGATGGTGTGAATGAGTGACCTCGTGCTCTCTGCAGATACAGTCATACACTATTATAGTTAAACACACGAGGATGACAGGGTACTGATAACGTTGTGGGTATGGTTTCTGTTATTTACAACAGTTGTTTTATAGGTTCTCAAAGTATTTTATTACTTATAGTATGAACATTCCTTCCCTAAGGGAATTAAATCTATAAACAATTTTGAAAAGCGACGCGCGCCGCAAAGGGCGACACGTTGCTTTATCGCTTTAACGACGCATAGCTTTATAAAGGTCGACGTCGTGTTAAAAAGTCGACGTCACTTTGAAAAAAGCGACGCGCCACGCGAATTTTGCGTCGCATTTGTTAAAAGGTGACGCGCAACGGCCGGGAAGTGGCCGAAATAGAACACCATAGTATTGGCACTAAGTCTGACCAATAATACGCGGCATCAATCTGTTTCACAGAGAATTACGAGTCTCGTATAATATCTCTGTCATAGATGACTGCCTTAACACGTGTTGTCACAGCACGCGGTGTGAATCATTGGCTGAATGGCGCGTGCATTGTTTACATAAGACATAACTGCTTCGGAGAGAATGCTGCATTTTAGTCAATTTAATACCCATTTACACTAAATCGGAAATAATTTTTACCTACAAATACGTCAAACGCCTTTATTTATTTTTCCAATATATACAAAAAATGTTTTAGAATTTAATTTGTCGCAGGAAAAAAGTTAATATTTTGACAATTTCGAAGGTCAAACGTGATATTGTGTATGATATTATTCAAAATGGATTAAAATGACAGATTAATCAGATTAAAATTCATAACGAACGGTCATCAAAAAGAACGTAATACGTAATATTTACGAACATGCCGAACATACCCATGAATCACGACCCAAGTTTCAGTACTAAACTGAAGATGTATAGTTCACATTGAGTATTCTTTAAAAATATCAACGGAACCAAATTATTAACAAAGGGTAAATAAAGGTTAGGATTTTAAGCATAAGTGAGAAATAACAAAAAGGCACCTTATTTCAACTATACGTTCTTTTTTTCCGGCGTCCATTTTGTTCAATTTCTAAGGTTGGCTGCAAATGTCGAATTGACTTATAAAGCGGAAAAGAGAAAAATAATACAAATTATATTCATTATATTATTATGCTATTTGATTACTATACAATAAATTGAGATTTGAAATTGGGTTTTATTTTAACCATGTTATAATTTTCTATGTCATCTCTTTATTCTACAAATCTACTTCTGATTTCGTTTCATCCTACATGATTTGATATTTAACCATTCAGCACCGTTTAAATCTATTTGTTAAGGCCAGCTCAATTTACGTCAAAGTTGTCGAGGTGTAAATAAGGTTAGGACACGTGATTGTTGGCGAGATTGTAGGGTAAGCATTAGGGCTAGGTCCAGGGTTAGGGTTAGGATTGGGATTAGAGCTAGCCTCGTTTACATCTCGTGAGCTTTGACCAAACTTGAAGCTGGCCATATCAAATAGATCTATAACCATTCAGCACCCCTCGCTGGAGGACCAGGCGATTCTTATGGTTATCTATTTTGGCCACTTCCTGCATCGCGATTCCGCGTCGCGCGTCGCCCTTCTCAATGTTAAGCTAAAGAGAAAAAATGCGACGTCGACATCTTAACACGACGTCGCTCTTCTAATGGCGACGTCGCTTTTTCTAAACGGATATTGTTTATAGTTTTGGTGATGAAATGCGGATGTAGCAGGAGAATTCATTTGCAGTTTATTTGCTGTTTGGTATCTTGTCTTCAATACAGAAATTTATATTGGACACAACGACCTGTCATTGACACCTTTATACAACAATTATATTACCCAGATTATATGTTATATTTTAAATGTCTGTTCTAAACTTACAATCGTAAACTCTGGATGGTGTGAATGAGTGACCTCGTGCTCTCTGCAGATACAGTCATACACTATTATAGTTAAACACACGAGGATGACAGGGTACTGATAACGTTGTGGGTATGGTTTCTGTTATTTACAACAGTTGTTTTATAGGTTCTCAAAGTATTTTATTACTTATAGTATGAACATTCCTTCCCTAAGGGAATTAAATCTATAAACAATTTTGAAAAGCGACGCGCGCCGCAAAGGGCGACACGTTGCTTTATCGCTTTAAGGACGCATAGCTTTATAAAGGTCGACGTCGTGTTAAAAAGTCGACGTCACTTTGAAAAAAGCGACGCGCCACGCGAATTTTGCGTCGCGCGTTGTGCGTCGCATTTGTTAAAAGGTGACGCGCAACGGCCGGGAAGTGGCCGAAATAGAACACCATAGTATTGGCACTAAGTCTGACCAATAATACGCGGCATCAATCTGTTTCACAGAGAATTACGAGTCTCGTATAATATCTCTGTCATAGATGACTGCCTTAACACGTGTTGTCACAGCACGCGGTGTGAATCATTGGCTGAATGGCGCGTGCATTGTTTACATAAGACATAACTGCTTCGGAGAGAATGCTGCATTTTAGTCAATTTAATACCCATTTACACTAAATCGGAAATAATTTTTACCTACAAATACGTCAAACGCCTTTATTTATTTTTCCAATATATACAAAAAATGTTTTAGAATTTAATTTGTCGCAGGAAAAAAGTTAATATTTCTAGCCCATTAAGCCGCATCAATGTCATCCTTATCAGTGATTGTCGCGGCCAAGCAAATATTCACTGCAGATCAGTGTGACGCGGCATTGCGGTTGGAAAGTTATTACTGACTGGTTATTCGTGGCTTTGTTATTTTCACGTGATATGACGTCATTGTCATCTATGTTTTGTCAACCTCGCTTTGGACTGAGTCACAAGAGAAGTAAACATTAATATCCAAAGCAGAAATTGCCAGTTTTGTTGTTTATAAACTAAACGACAGTCAAGATGAAATTTAAGTTTAAGGAAGAACACATATTTGGTAAGTTGTCCAGTATCTAAAGTCAGTGGAATCTCGTTGAAAGCTCAGTTTTGTGGGAGGTTGAAAAATTGCGTAAAAAAAAAAACAAACACAAAACCGAAAACCCAAATTTATTACTAGTCTTAGTCTATTACTATTAGTTTAATAACAAATTAAACGACGATCGAAAGGTAAAAAAAAAAGTCAAAAAGTACCGTATAAAATTGGTTGTTGAAAAATATATAAATTATGCCCCATTGTTTTGACGATTACAGTGATATTCCAGTCTCGCAACATTTTGGACTAACAAAAATATATCCTCAACATGATTTTACTTTTAGACTGGAGGGGGGGGGGGGAAGACGTACTATTCTGGCTCTTTAACCAGGTGTCTTGGGTTCGCTCCTGGTGTTGGGTTTGGCATGGACAGTGTCCAGTTGTTCGGATGGTAAGGAAAAACCAAGGTGCACATAAAAGAACACTTGACAGTTCATATTCGATAACAACAGTAGACCTAGTCGTTAGATCTGCTGTCAGAGCCAAATTTCCCTGATATAGTACTCAGGGGGCACGACAGTTGGGACTAGAGAATCAACTGAAAGGAGAAGTTGAACTCAAAAGTCAAATCAGTTCTTCAAGTTAATAACCCACTTTTATTTGATAACATAATAATTTTAGAAAAAAAAACAAAAAACATAAAACTGAAAGTACACATATTGGCAAACCACAGGGCTGGTGGACCTACTCTCTGCACACTTATCTTAGTAATTTAAACTGAAACTGTGAGATATCGATTTGACTACACTAAGATCAGGGGTGTTTTTGAATGGATATAAGAAACCAAGTGTTAAAGTATTGGTTAGGAATGATAGTTTTATCTTGCAGAGCATTTCTTAGTTTTGCCTTGTATTATATTATAGAACAGAGAAAAGCTGAGTCATCAAAAATTAGAACAAAATATCCAGAAAGAATACCGGTAAGTTTGTATAATTTGGAACTCTTAAACATTTTCTGTTCCATCCTTTCCTTTTCCATATTGCAGCACAGTGTATTACGTAAGTCTGGAGTCTGGAGCATATTGACTGAAGTACGTATGAATCAAAAATATTCATAATCAGCATAAATTGAATACCCGTTTTCGGGGATTGGATAGCCGAATGGTTGTATCATAAGGGGCTTCATTCAGTCAACTGGCGTGGTTTCGATTCCCCGGTTGGGTTTTCTCCAGGTCGTCCAGTTTCCTCCCACTACTGAAGACCTATATGCACAAGCGAAT